TTCTAGGAGTTTTATGGTTTCCGGTCTTACATTCAAGTCGTTAATCCATTTTGAGTTAATTTTTGTGTATGGTGTAGAATAATGATCTGCTTTCATTTTTTTGCATATGGCCATCCAGTTTTCCCAATACCACTTACTGAAGAGAATTTGCTTTCTCCATTGTATGTTCTTGGCTCCTTTGTCAAAAACTAGCTGTGGACAGACATGGGGTACATGATGTAGCTTGCAAAGAAACTGAAATATGACGATATACACCTGAAATTTAAATAATGTTATAGACCAAGGTTACCTCAATAACAAAAAAGATGTCTATGTTTTCAACAAATGGTGTTGGGAAAATTAGATATCCATGTGCAAAAGAATGAAGTTGGACCCTTACCTTCCATCATATACAAAAATTAACTCAAAATGGACCGAACACCTAAATGTAAGAACTAAAACTATAAAACTCTTAGAAGAAAACATAGGGGAAAAGCTTCATGACATGGGAGTTGGCAATTCTTTCTTGGATGTGATACCAAAAGCACAGGCAAGAAAGGAAAAAAAGGGGCTGGCCCCATGGCCGAGTGGTTAAGTTCGCGCGCTCCGCTGCAGGCGGCCCAGTGTATCGTTAGTTCGAATCCTGGGCGCGGACATGGCACTGCTCATCAGACCACGCTGAGGCAGCGTCCCACATGCCACAACTAGAAGAACCCACAACGAAGAATACACAACTATGTACCGGGGGGCTTTGGGGAGAAAAAGGAAAAAAAAAAAAATCTTTAAAAAAAAAAAAAAGAAAGAAAAACAAAAGAGAAATCAGACTTCATCAAAATCAAAACCTTCCGTGCATCAAGGGACACAGTCACAAAGTCAAAGGGTAACCCATGGAAGGGGAGAAAATATTTGCAAATCGCGTACCTGATAACAGATTAAGATCCAGAATATATAAAGAACTCCTACTATTCAGGAGATAACCTGATTAAAAAATGAGCAAAGGACTTGAATACACATTTCTCCAAAGAAGACATGCAAATGGTCAATAAGCACATGAAAAGATGGTCAACATCACTAATCATTAGAGAAATGCAAATGAAAATCACAATGAGATATCAGCTCACACCTCTGGGGATGGCTGCTGTCAAAAACAAACACACAAACAAAATCCAAAATAACCAATGTTGGTGAGGATGTGGAGAAAGCGGAATCCTTCTGCACTGTTGGTGGGAGTATAAAATGGCGCAGCTGCTATGGAAAACAGTATGGCGGTTCCTCAGAAAATTAAAAATAGGGGCCTGGCCCTGTGGCTCCGTGGCTAAGTTTGCATACTCCGCTTCGGCAGCCCAGAGTTTTGGTGGTTTGGATCCTGGCGCGGACACAGCACTGCTCATCGAGCCATGCTGATGTGGCATCCCACATAGCACAACCAGAAGGACCTACAACTAGAATATACAACTATGTGCTGGGGGCCTTTGGGGAGTAGAAGAAGAAAAAAAAGAAGATTGGTAACAGATGTTAGCTCAGGTGAGAATCTTTAAAAAAAAAGAAAAAAATTAAAAATAGAATTACTGTATGATCCAACAATTCCATTTCTGGGTACATACTCAAAAGAATTGGAAGCAGAGTCTTCAAGAGACATTTGTATACCCATGTTCATATGGCATTATTCATAACAGCCAAAAGACAGAAGCAACCCAAGTGTCCATTGACGGATGAATGAATAAAAATGTGGTATATCTATACAGTGGAATATTATTCAGCCTTAAAAAGGAAGGAAATTCTGACACATGCTACAACAAGGTTAAGCCCTGAGGGCATTAGGCTAAGTGAAATAAGCCATTCACAAAAGAACAAACACCGTATGATTCCACTTGAATGAGGTACCTAGAGTAGTCAAATCTATAGAGACAGAAAGCAGAATAGTGGTTGCCGGGGCCTTGGGGGGGAGGAGGGGAATGAGGAGCTTTAATGGGTATAGAGTTTCAGTTTTGCAAGATGAAACGATTCTGGAGCTGTACAACAATGTGAATGTACTTAACCCTGCTGAACTGTACACTTGAAAATGGTTGAGATGGTAAATATTATCTTATAGTTCACTACACATTAAAAAAAAAGTCTATGCCATTAAGCTTGTCTCCTTTTAGAGTTTAATCCAAAGGGAGAAAAGACCAAGGCTTCATGTGATTTGCTGAATTAAAAAAAAATATTTAAGCCACTTTAATTAGTATATAGATGTAAATGACAAGTTGATAAATTCAGTGTGGAACTAAGAAGTTGCTAAAGATAATCCCGAGGTTAACAGATAACAGGCAGAGTTTGGAAAGGTGTTTATATTTAGGGAAAATGTTTAAAGAAGCTTTTAATATTTAGATAGTCTAAACATTCAATACATCATCATGCAAGAATGAGATTCTAGAGTCCATAAAACTAACTTTATGGTAAGAAAAGTCTTTTGTGTGTGTATGGTGTATGGGGGGTACCACATTAATTTTATTCTATTATAAAACTAATTTATGGGGCTGGCCCCATGGCCAAGTGGTTAAGTTCACCCACTCCACTGCGGCGGCCCAGGGTTTTGCTAGTTTGGATCCTGGGCGCGGACATGGCACTGCTCATCAGGCCACGTTGAGGCGGTGTCCCATATGCCACATCTAGAAGGACCTGCAACTAAGATACAATTATGTACCAGGAGGGATTTGGGGAGATAAAGCAGAAAAAAAAAAAAAAAAAGATTGGCCACAGTTGCTAGCTCAGGTGCCAATCTTTAAAAAAAAAAATGAAAAAAACCCCTAATTTATGCTTAATAAACATGTGGAAAAATTAAGAATAAAGCAAGCTCTACCACCCAAATTCAACCTTATTTCCTTTCCCGTCCTTTCCAGTCATTTTTCCACACACAGGTTTACAATATATAGTTATGGTCATACTATATATGAACAGTAACCATTATTTCAAAAGGTTGCACATATATCACAGAGTACATAAGTTTTAGTTTAATTTCTACTTTATTTTTGAGAAAGTAGAGAATTTCCAGGGTGTTTTTCCTATGTGGTAAAATTTGGTACATTATAGTTTATTTTCTCTATTATGGTATAAATTAAAATGATATGTTAAAATTAAAATCTTTGTTCGTAAAGAGCATTTTCTATATTATGGCTTATTTCCTTTGGATTTACTCCCATAATAGAATTCACAATCAAAGAGTTTAATTATTAAGGGTTTTGATACCTTTTAAAGGTTCTGATATTGCCAAATTGCTTACTTACCTAAAAAATTGTGTGCGAGTGCTATCACACAGCATCCTTGCCAGCCTTTAACATCATTTATTAATTTTTGCCAACTTTATATGCAAAAAAATTGTTATTTTGCTTTGCATTTCTTTGAACTTTTTGCAATATATTTGTTTTGTTTTCTTTTTTTTTTAAAGATTGGCACCTGAGCTAACATCTGTTGCCAGTCTTTTTTCTTTTTTCTTTCCTTCTTCTCTCCAAAGCTCCCAGTACTTAGTCGTATATTCTAGTTGTAGGTCCTTCTGGTGTGGCATGTGGGACGCTGCCTCAGCATCGCCTGATGAGTGGTGCCATGTCCACACCCAGAATCCCAATCAGCGAAACCCTGGGCTGCCGAAGCGCAGCGCGGGAATTTAACGACTGGGCCACAGGGCCGGCCCCAATACATTTGTTTTCTAATTGTATTTCCTACCTTTTTTCTTTTTAGTGGATTGTTTATTAGTGTGTCTTGCTCATTTACAATTGACTTCTAACATTTTCCTATTGTGTTAAATCTAGAGGTAATAAAAATAATACTTTGTATCATAGTTCCTATAAATACTTTCCCTAGTCTATCCCCTAACTTTAAATTTGGGCTATTTTTATTTAACCGATGTTCCCAATTTACCTATAGTTAAATCTGCCTTTATTTTCCTACGTGTTTTTGGTGACTATTGTGTGTGTGTAAAATGGGGGTTAAGGATAAATGACAATAAACTTACATTATTGTCCAACAGTATCATTTAGAAATAACGTAGGAGCTGTTATCATCCCTGTCCCCAAATGTGACACTATCTGAGCTGAGTTCTTTATCACTCCCTCTGCCAAAACCTTGGGGCCAGGGTTGCCAGACAAAATACAGGATGCCCTGTTAAACTTCAGTTTTAGATAACAATTTTTTTTTATTATAAGTATGTCCCAAATATTGCATGGGACATAAAAAGTTATTCATTGTTCACCTGAAATTCGATTTTAATTGGTCATCCTGTATTTTTATTTGCTACACCTGGCACTCCTACTTGGGGCTAGTTTACTAACACCTGCTTTCTGAACAGCACCCTGTACTAGGTGTTGGGGGTGGGAGGGGAAGGGGTAGCTGAAAGAAAAGATAGTTTCAGTTCTCCGACAGTTTAGACTCTGGTGTCCCAGAGAATTTTGCAATCAAAAAAATAATCTCCTGGCCTATTTCAATGGCTGCTAGATTAAACTTCTTAGGGCACAGCCTCTGTGTTTTCCTGCTGCCCAAGGCAGAGTTATCCACATTTACCCTGTCATAGAACCACCCGAGACACCCCTCCCCTGGGGAGCCTGATTCCTTCGGCGTGAAGAGGGATGCAGACGCTCGCGGTTTTATCAAGTGCCCAGGTGATTCTCCTGCTCAGGTAAGTCTGTGGACTCCGGCAGGCTTGGGTTGGAGGCCTCTGGGTAACACCACCCAGCATAAAGTCACTGTCCTAGTTAGATCCTGTTGAGGCAGCTTCAGGTTTTCTATAACTTATTCAAAATCATTGGTATACATTTTGCAGTGGTGCTAATCTTTGCAAGTTACTCTACAGTTCATAAAGTCCATCCCATCTGGTCTTATTTCCTCTTTACAAAGGAGGACAGGGAGGCTCAGAGGGGCCAAGTGCACCCAGCAAGCTCGGGAAGCAGCCCGAGCTGCAAAGCCCGCCCCTCTTCCACCCCACCAACCTCCCTCCTTCAGCCTACAGAACATACGTGGGGACCACCAGGGTTGGAGTTAGAGCCCACCTCGAGTTTCAGGTGACTTCCGCTCCCAAACTTGCCGGCGGCCCCAGGCCTGCAATTAACAAACGGGGGTGGGGAGAGGTCCGCGCGCCGCTCGGCGCAGGAGCCGGGAGCCCGCGGGTGGGCGAGGTCTGGGGTGCGGTGCGGAGAGGAAGGCCGGCCTCCTGCAGATCCCCGGGCCGCGGCGCGGCCTGCTCGCCGCCGCCCCGGGAGTGCCGCCTGGTCCCGAGCCGCGCGCCGGGAGCGGAGGGCGCGCGGGCACGGCAGCGGGGACGTGCTCCGAGGACGCGCGCGGCTGGTCCTCCGGCGGCCGCTCCCGGGAAGGACGGCGGCTTCCCGGGGAAGCCCGCCGCCGCCGCCGGCCTCGGAAACGCTGAGAGGGGTGTTGGGAACCCGTGGCGCGCGTGGCCGCCGCCGCCGCCCGGGACAGCCCGGAGGTTGGTAGCTGGAGACGTAGCGGATCCTGGGGAGGTTAGGTGTGGACTTTTTTGCTTCGGTTTACTCGGTGGAAAAAAGAAATGCACGAGACGCTTTCCGTTTCCTCCCCGAGTTCCTGCGTGCGCACCCGAGGGCGGGACAGAGGAAGCGCCCGGTCCCGCAGGGGAGACAAAGGCGGCGGGGACCGTGTGCCCGGGTCATGCTGGTCTCCCTGCGCGGAGGCTGGGGTCCCCACCGGCCGGGTCGAGTCCACGCACGCCCTTGCCAGCGTCCTCTCTCGGCTTGGTGCCCAGTTTCCGGCACTGTTGCGGGGAGTTGCAGACTCTGGTCCCCAGGGCAGAAGTGAAGCGCGCCTGATTGTTGTGGCTTCAGTGGCCGCCAGACTCATTTCTTTTGCTGTCTACTCTTGGGACTCAGTTTCCCTCATCTCTTCTGAGTCTAGCCTTCAGCACTGGTCTTTATGTGGGAAAGCCCTCCTCCCCTCAGTCCCTACCAAGGTGGGCGGAGAGGTACTGTGATGGCACTGGTGTTAAATGTGTTGTTGCTTTGGTTCACGGCTCTCGGATCAGGGCAGTCCCGCTAGGGGGTTGGCATCCTCGGTGGTTGCATTATGTGGAGGTGAGACTCATTGTTTCTGTCCCTTTGTTTTGCGTTCCTCATTCATTCGCAGAACTAGGCGCCTACTTTAATGTGATTAAGTGCTATGGCAACAGAAAGAGAGGGAAGGCTTCACTTGAGGTGCTGGTTGTTACACTGGAATTTGAAGAATAAGCATGATTTTTTCCTTCCATTCTCCATGTTGTGTCTTTCTTATAATTTTTCTTCCTCTTTTCTCGGTGGCAGTCCCTAACTATTTAAGTGGTGAATAAGGACAGTGAGTTCTGACCTGAAAGATTCAACTAATATTAACTTAATGAGGACAATGTGCTTGCCAAGTAAATCTATTACATCCGTTATTTCTAAACTTTACAGTAACTGGGAAGGATAGTAGGGTTATCCCTTTTTGCTGCAGAATAAAGAAAGGCTTAGAGGAGATCTCAAAGCCACAGAGTGGTAAATGTTGGGGTCGGTTTTGCACTGCTCTTTCTGGATCCAAGCCTATGCTTTGTCCCCTGTTTCCTTTGCCCTCTTCTTGGGAAGCAGGTTATCTAGACTAACTTCGAGTGAAAGGCCAAGTTTCTGGAGAGAGCAGTCATTTTTGTGGGTGGTTAAATGTTGGTGGGAACTCTGTAGGTGACATCAGGAACTAGTCAGCGCCGGCTTCACTCACGTGTGTGTCTCCTGCTCCCAGTTCAGGGCCTGGCCCAAGGGGAAGCGCCCCTTAATTGTTGTATTGGAGTTCCCTGGCTTGGGTGAAATCCTGGGTTCCTTGTAAGAGATTCTTTACCTTTTTTTGTGCCGGGGACTTCTTTGGAGTCTGCAGAGGCCAGTTTTTTTAAAAAAAATACATAGGGTTAAAATTATATTGAAACAAAGTTATCAAAATAGCATAAAAAACTATGAGAGTATTTTATGTGTTTATTAGTACATTGTAACAAAATTCAGTGCAGTGTCAAAGAACTCATAATTTCAAAGTCGTGATGCTCATGGAAACAATATTTTGCAGTATTGCAACAGCTGCACAGTGGTATGAAAGTATCTGTGACTCTTATGGGTGACAAAGTCACCAGAGTTGCCCTTACTGGTATGGTTTGTTGTCCACATTTATAATCAGATGAAATCCTGAGTTTCAGTTAGAGGTTCATGAAAATAAGGATGGATAAGAAGAAAACTTTAAGTTCATGGTCCCTTGAATTCTGCTATGGACACCTTGTGGGTGGAGGGCTGGATCTCCTAGATTACAGGCCCTGCTTAGTGGTTGGTTGTCTTTGGAGTTCTTACCGGCCAGCCTAGTGCATTACTGGTAGCTGTTTCTTTCTCCTTCAGGTGGTGTCTCTTTCTGTGCCGATTCACAGTTGTTTCTGGAGACAAAAGCTCTTGAGAGGGAATTGCTGGACTGTTTACATAGCTACCTGCTCCTTCTGTGGGCCGTTCTGCTGGAGAATCTTCCTGCCATAGTGGATGTGTGTCATGTGGTACATGACAGCCTTTCTTTTCTTCTGTGAGAGTGAAAATGAACTTTAATGGTGTACAGTATTACCAGTGTCAAGGAAGAAAAAGGAGTTAGCAGTATATTTCCCACAGACATTTAAAAGATCTTAAGATGTTACTGTGATCAATTTTATGGTAATACATTTGAAAATTCAGATGAAATAGGCAAGTTTTTTAAAAATAAAATGCCTTACCTAAGAGATAAGAACTAGAAAATATGAGTAGTCCTATATCTATTGAAAAAGCTCAATTTGTAGTTAAAGACCTTTCCATAGAAAAATTTCTTGGCCCAGATGGCTTCACTAGTGAAATATTCTGAACATTTAAAGAAAATGAAAAAGAGGGAACACCCCCCAGCTGCTTTTATGAGGCCGGTGTAATCTGTTACTGAAGCTAGATAAGGCCAAACACTCAAAAAAAGATGCAAAAGTCTTACACAAGGTATTGGTAAATCAAATTTAACAATCTATAAAAAGGATACTAAGCCAATACCAAACTGTAAATTTAAACTTTGTCTAATGTTAGAAAGTCGATGAGTGTGGTTTAACCACATACACAGAGTAAAGGAGAAAATTTACTTGATAAAATTCAACACCCGTTCATGATTTGCAAGCTGCGACATTACTGAGAGAATTTAAAGATTTAAAATAATGGAGCGTATGTCATTGCTCTGCGAATAAATCTATAGATTCAGTACAATCCCAATCAAAATCTCAACAGATGTTTTTCAAGATAGGAGTTGATAAACCATTTTGAAATTTATTTGGAAGTTCTAGAAAATTTGAGAAAAAGCAAAGTTGGATGACTCAAGCTACTAGATCGATACGTTTAAGGTCACTATGGTTTTGACAATGCTAGACAGACCATGGAACTGAGTAGAGAGTCCATGACCAGCCTCACGCATATGTGGTCGCTTGATTTATGGCAGAGGTGACACTGCAGTGCAATGAAGAAAGGTTAGCTTTTTCAGTAAATGATGCTGGGCCAATTGTCTTTCCAGCTAGACAAAATGAATCTTGATCATACCTCATGTCATATGTAAAAATTAATCAAGAGCCAGCCCTGGTGGTCTAGTGGTTAAAGTTTGGCACTCTCACTGCTTTGGTGGCCCTGGTTTGCTTCCCAGTTGTGGAAGCACACCACCCGTCTGTCAGCTGCCATGCTGTGGTGGCAGCTCACATAGAAGAACTACAAGGACTTACAACTAGGATATCCATCCAGCCATGCACTGGGGCTTTGGGAAGGAAAAAAAAAGAGGAAGATTGGCAACAGATGTTAGCTCAGGGTGAATCTTTCCCAGCAAAATAAAGTTCAATAAAAAAAAAATTTAACCAAGGTACATTGTGCACCTACATGTGAAAACTAAAACAATAAAGCTTCTGGAAGAAAGCAGAGCAAAATATCTTTATGACCTAGGTACAGTCAAAGACTTAGTGAATAGGACACAAAAAGCACTAATTATAAAGGAAAATATTGGTAAGAACTTCTGTTCATCTAAAGATTCCATACAGAGAGTGAGAAGGCAAGCTACAGAATGGGTGAAGGTATTTGTAATTCATATATCTAATAAAGAACTCATGCCCAGAGCGTAGAAAGAACTTGTACTAATCAAAGAAAAAGATGGACAGCCCAATAGAAAAATGAGCAAGAGTCACTTCATAAAGAGGATCTCCAATAAACATGTTTATTGGGATAAACTTTCAGATGTTTATCCCAATATACCTATGAAAAGGTGGTCAACCTCATCGGTAATTACGGAAATGCAAATTAAAACTACAATGGGCTATCACTATATATGCACCAGAGTGGCTAAAATTAAAAAAACTGTCAGTGCTAAGAACTAGTTGGGATATGGACAAACTGGAACTCTCATACATTGCTGATGGGTATGAAAATTAGTATAACTTGGAAATTGTTTTGTGGTATCATTTACTAAAGCTGGGCATGCGCATCCCTATGACCAGCTTCTTCATCCTTAGATACTCAACAGTAAGGCATACGTATGTGCACCAGCAGACGTGTAAAAGAATATGCACAGCAGTATTACTCATAAGAGCCCCAAGTTGGAAACAACCCACATGTTCATCAATAGTAGAATGGAAAAATGCAGAAATAAATTGTTGATACAATGGAATACTCTGTCGTAATGAGAATTACTATTGCCGAGTAGTTTACAATAATAGAGTACTCAGCAAATTCTTGCCTCACACACAACATGGATGAGCCTCACAAGCATAAAGCTGAGCCAAAAGAAGTTAGACACAACAGAGTAAGTGCTGTGTGATTCTGTTTATGTGAAGTTCAAAAACAGGCGAAGCTAACCAAACTATGATGATAGAAATCAGACTCGTGGTCACCTTCAGGGGAGTTTTAAGAGAAGACAGAGGGGCTTCAGAGGCAGTCAGTTTTTTATCTGAGTGGGAATTACTGGAGTGAGTCTGCTTTTTGAAAGTCTTAAATTCTTTATTTAAGTATATTTTAATACAAAGTTTACTTAAAAGACTATATCCTAAAAATATGGTTCATTCAGATGCGCCTAATCTGGGGAGGGTAAAATGTGGTGGTCGTGATTCTTGGTGACTAAAAAGGCTTAAAATAGGTTGAGAATTTTCAGGGGAAAGAGTACACTATCACCTCAGGAGCTTTTTTGAATTTAGGGGCTTATAAAATTGACTCCTTTTTGCCAGTCTTTAACAGCGGAGATCTGCCTTAAGGGCAGTTCATATAAAAGACTTGGAGTTATGTTTGATGTTAAGATTGATATCAGCGTGGGACGGGAGCTAAAAAATGCTAAGGAGAACTGAATGCAAAATTTTGTTTTCAGATTTAATTTTCTTGCAATGTAAGTTTTTAAAGTTTATAACGATTAGATTAAAATATTCTGATGTTTTATATAAATCCTTTTAGG